TATATATATAATAAATTAGCTTTGTGGTAGTATTAATCAAGTAATACAGATAAATTAAAGAACAAGTATTAAAAGTCTTACTTGGGACAAAGCTGACGCGTGTATGGTAGAATTATCCATATGAATAATCAGCTCTTTCACAATATTTCTGTGGGCTGTGACGACCCCAACGCGAATCCCAGCGCTCATTATCTTGCTGAACGAATCCATTCTGATTACACGACCGTCAGTGTCGAGGGAGAAAAACGACGTGGGCTGTTTATCTAAAAAGTGAACGAAGCAGTAAGGATCGTCCTCGACGATCAGAAAGTTGTATTTCTGCGCCAATTCGTACACTTTTCTTCGTCTGATCTCCGACAAGACGGCACCTGTAGGATTCGCTCCCGTCGGATTAACGTAAAGTAACTGGAAAATTTAGTAAACCATGCATGTTTCTGATTAATAGAAATAATAATCCAATGTTGGATTTGTAATAATTTTAATTATGCATAAAAAAATAAGTAAAAAAATATTAAAAGATAAAAGAAAAAAATAAGGCACGATTATGCACTTGTAAAATAATTTTGACATCATTATTTCATAACTCATTATTAGCAAATCCTTATCTTTTACGGATTACTTAAAATGTTATCAAAATGCTTTAATAAATTTTATAAGCATATTATTCAAGCAATTTTTAATTGATCTCTTTTCAGTAGAAACGTCAAAGCTTTTGAATTAAAAGTAAAAGTAATAAGTATTTTGCGAATAAAGATTTAAGATAAAAATTGAAGAGCAAAGATAAATAATTAGTTTCTCATTATTCTATATACGATTTCAAAAAGAGATATATCTTATTCCGCAAATTTTCTGACTCACTTTTGGCATCGGTCTACCAGTCGCAAGTCTTTGCTCGCATTCTTTGGTGATCTCTTCGGGAATGATACCATCGGCATCTTGATTAATCTCTATAACATTTGGTGATAGCGGCAGTAGCTACAAGTTCAGAAAAATCTTTTTAAAAAATTTGTTTGTAAAATACATATATATCTGTTATTGCAAAAAAATCAGATATCGGCGAAATTGATTAATAATTACATTTTTTTTGTGCAATTATATTTGCGCGATGTAAAATTGCACTAGTTTGTTGAATATACATTAATGTCAATTATTTTATATAATTCAATTACTAATAAGTACTAGAGCAAGATTATCATAAATATTTTTGATAATCTTCCGAGGAAGTGGTATTGTATTGATCGCTAATTAATAATTAATTTGGAATACATTGTTTAAACAAACACATATGGCAAATTATATTTTATAATTTTATAATGTAATATATTTGATAATTTATTTTATATTTAAGAAAGATATCTGTACCCACACAAGTGATAATTAATTAACCGACGCCCGATGCTCGTTTTTTCGAGTGTATTTATTTTGTATGATCAGCTTTTCATGACAAAACCTTCTCAACAAGTACACCTTGATATTGATGGGAGAGCTTAGTACCTGGAAGATTTTTCCTGAAGGGAAAGCCAAAACACGGCATTTTGATGCTGACAAAATTGGATAATTCATTAACTATTGCCGGAGAATACTCAATGAAATACTCCGAAAAGCGGTTCGGTACGAATGGTTAGAATTCGGTCGAGTTCTGTCCCGTTCTCTTGTCTTCATGTGTAGATAGCCGAACACTACAGCCTTCTGTTTCATTGCATTTTGAAGACATATATATGATATATTTTTCGTTTTGCCGAACTGGCTAGGACAACTTATATCTAAGCAAGTTTGAATCATTCTGATATCCGAATATGCTCTGAGACAAGAGTCGGGGCTTCCATTCGCATCGATCGCATCGATCGATTCCGTTTTCTTCCGCTTTTTAACCCTCGTTTCGCGATTGTGAAATTTGAAAGTGCCATGCAAAGTCTCGCGCATTCGAGTTGGGGGGTGTTATGTAAAATGTCACACGTTCGAGTGTGGGAGTACCGTGAAAAGTGTCGCTCGTTCAATCTTACAGTGTCGCATAATAAACAGTAATAAACAGTAATAAACCGTAATAAACTATATATTTCTGTGTGTAAGTACAACGAATTCTGACAATCTAAGAGGAGGAGAAGGCTTACAAGGCATTGGGCGACGGCGAAACACAACCTTGGGATGAGTAATTTAATATTTATATATTATTTTTCATTAATATATCGCGCGCGCCTTTATTCTCGTTTATTTGATTTTTTTTTTTGGATAATTTAAGTAAAAATGAGAAAAAAGAATTTTTATATGATATTTTTATGATATTTTTTAAAGCATTTTTTCGGTATGTATATGTATAATTATTTTATTATTTATATCTATATAT